TTACAGAGAGGAGGCTGGTTGGTCCACTGTGATGGGTGCCCGGGGACGCAGATGATGGTCACTTCTCCGATCAGTTCAAAGCCTTCATAACAAAAGAAGCGCAGAGCCTCTCCTGCCTGGTAATGGTGCTTGTACAGGGTCTGGTATCCATTCTCTGGAACTCCGGGGTTCATGCAAGGCTCGTACTTCACTAGAAAGTGGGTTACAATTCATTGGAGATAGAATGAAAAGAAGATATGTTAGATACAATATCATGGAGCAAATGAATACAGAGCCTTTAGATTTCATTATCCGTGCTGATAGCTGAACAACATGAGGCTTTAAAAACGTGCAAATGAGTTGTTGGCCAACCATGGACCAACATAATGGCCATTGTATTATGGAAGATCAAACCATAGACACTTCACTTGACGTCTGCTGAAATTAAGAAGACCTTTATTATTGTTCAGAAATAAATTCCTGACCTGAGAATATACAATATCGTTTTTCATACAAGCTGCAACTTTCATCATTAAAGGGCCGTCCTTAAGCTATTGCTAGGCTATTGCACAGTGCACATGGCGCGCAGTACTCTGTGCTAGGTGCATTGCCATTCATTTGCATGGCAGCCCCAATGCACGTCCCAGCGGTTATGCATTGCAGCACAGTGCACGGTACCTCAATACCAGGTTAAAAAAGCAGTGCATGCATTGCAATGCACAGCCTCCGGAAGGTGGGGTGCCATTCAAAGCAGAGCACCTAGTGTACAGTACCCGGGGCCGGATTTACTCTCTCTGCTGCCCCAAGGCAAGGTTCCTCAATTTTGTTGCTATCACACAGGGACTAAATGTAGAAAAAAAACTACCCACCTGGAAGCTGTGCTGCCCCGCCCCCCCCCCTACTCACTGCTACCCCAAGGACAGGCCTCGGTGGCCTTGTGGGAAATCCGGCCCTGACAGTACCGCACTCTAGCGCTGGGGTAGCCAAACTCCGGACCTCCAGCTGTGGTGGAACTACAAATCCCATGAGCCATTGCAAGATTCTCACAACCTCAGACATGACTCCCGGAGAGAGATGCATAATGGGAGTTGCAGTTTCACCCACAGCTAGAGGGCCGGAGTTTGGCTACCCCTGCTCTACAAGTCTGTATTAATACATTCCTGACATTAGGATCCAAATACCATTCGGACTCCTACGGTCTTACGATGAAAAAGGGTGCCTGTGGTGCTCAAGGCGACCGCACGGATGGCGCCGCGCAACCACTAGCAGCAAGTTCAAGAATTTCACCGGCACACACTGGGAAAGTCAACTATCGATATTGCATTGATCTATTTAATGAAGGATGTCACATAATGTCATATAGTGCTAACGTTTCGGATCCTCGCAAGGGTTATGCCAAATGCACAGGTACCGCGTGTTGAGCGCAATGCTATGGTGCACATTGCCCCTTAATGCTCAGAAAACACGGCACATTCATTTCCATCATCCCAAACCTTACGCCCCGAGCCAAGACCAACTGAAGAGTCATGTGAGTCCCATTACAATGTACTGAAATAATGCAGCATATGCGTGCCAAAAATTCTACTGTGTCAATATATTTCCAAGGTCAGAGGGATGGCGGAGGCCCATCTGGAGCGGATCATTTATCGTCTATAAATACACAATGCAGGTGGTGACTGAGCATTATGTTTGCTGTAAAGGTCAGCGATGGCGGAGCGGCTGCACGCAGCTTTTTCCAGGTGAAACCTCTCAGATTCCAGGATCCAGCTCAGTCTTCATTCTACACGTGCCGGAGACTGGACGGACCTTCGGACAGACTCAACTCTCTGTGACTTGGGATTCCATACACCAAAATCAGTTTCTTATCCTGCATCCCTAATCTAGTCTCTGGGGGCTCCGATCTCTCCAGGTCATGGCATAGCTACGAATGGTTAATGACGTGTTCTGTATTGTGGAAGACTTTTTTGGGGCCTCCTTAGTTGTAATGAGTTTTGGGAACATTTATCAGCATTTAAATTCATCTCCAAAGCTTCTCTTTTCCCCAACTCCTGCCCTCCCCCCTTCCCTCCATGAAGCCCCCCCAACCCTGGCCGTCTGGTGACATCTCAGGTCCTTCCTCTTCTCTACTAGCAACAGCGATGGGCTGAGTGGCACCCACATAAGGATGTGTGATCGCTGCTCAGTCCAGAAGTCCAGGCCTAGTGATGACACCTCCCAGTGGGCTTGTCCATGACAGCCGTGGGTTCACAGGAAGTTGGTTGAATTACGCTGGCCTTTATTCAGCCCAGAAGAGGATGGACACCCAACTGTGGAGGACGTCCCTGAAGAGTGGAGAGTTGTCCTTTCCTTTTTTTAATGAAGGGGGAGAGAATGTATATATCTCACAACACAAACAAGACGCCCATGCCATACCTCATCATCCATTTGGTTCATTCCTTCATATCATACCTCATCATCCATTTGGTTCATTCCTTCATACCATACCTCATCATCCATTTCGTTCATTCCTTCATACCATACCTCATCATCCATTTGGTTCATTCCTTCATACCATACCTCCTCCTCCTCCTGATTCATTCCTTCATACTATACCTCATCATCCATTTGATTCATTCATACCATACCTCATCATCCATTTGATTCATTCATTCATACCATACCTCATCATCCATTTGGTTCATTCCTCCATACCATACCTCATCATCCATTCATTTCATTCCTTCATACTATACCTCATCATCCTTTTGATTCATTTATTCCTTCATACCATACCTCATCATCCTTTCATTTCATTCCTTCATACCTTACCTCATCATCCTCCTGATTCATTCCCTCATACCATACCTCATCATCCTTTCATTTCATTCCTTCATACCTTACCTCATCATCCTCCTGATTCATTCCCTCATACCATACCTCATCATCCTTTCATTTCATTCCTTCATACCTTACCTCATCATCCTCCTGATTCATTCCCTCATACCATACCTCGTCATCCTTTCATTTCATTCCTTCATACCATACCTCATCATCCATTGACTTGTTCCTTAGGTGTTCCATTATCTATTACTCTTCAGGTATTGATCCAAGGTCCCCAGTGGTTGTTGGCCATTTATGGCTCACGGGGCCACCTAATAACCACAATTTCAGATCCAGGTCACCACTCCCAACCCAATGTTGACAGATTTTATGACACCCTGGTGATTGGATGAAGGTGGCTGAGGTACCCGTGTGGCTATAAATCTTGGGGTATGTTCCTGACGGTCATCCCAGCCCCCTTGGATGTGTGGTGACATTTCTCATACAAGTCCAGTTGAATGTGGCTAAAGGCTGCTACAATTGTACTGTCCTGTTTCTGATACGTCCAGGGACTGGACCTGGAAGTGAGGTACCGATGGCAAGTACACAGTATCAGCTGCTTTAGTAGCGACAGCCCCACTCCGGGATGACTTTATCCCGAACCTCCTCTAGGTGGCGCCATCGTTACATCTTCTCAGCGAGCCGAGATACAATTCGCACGTCTGATCACTACAATACATACCGCCAGCAGATGGAAGCGACTTAAGGGAGAACTATGAGGGGGGTGCTTTTCACTCACCTCATAGTTCTAGCCGACCTGTGACAATGAGACTGTCACAGGTCGGCTCAGTAGATCGGGAGGTGAGCAAACACATACCGGCGTTCGCTCACCTCTCGATCCTATCATGGCTCTCTGCCGTGACAGGGGAGGGGCTGGATTCCCCTCTCCCCGCTCCGATCCGCCAGCGCTGATAGGCAGAGCCAGCTGTCACTCACGCAGCTGGGTGGATCCAGACATAATTGTCGGATTCCGCTTCAGCTGCGGCGGTCTCGGTATACCGCGAGCTGCAGCTCCCTATATACTGAGCCTAGGGTGACGGGAGGACGCTAGTTTGTGTCCTCCCGTTACCCTAAGGAGAACTATGGGGAAAAGCCCTGACCCCATAGTTCTCCTTTAATCGTTACAGGAAATCAATACATTCATGTGTTCTTATATATGGCGGCTCCATACAGAACTATACAGGATGATCGTTCATTGTGGTGCAGCTGTAGCGTGCTGCGCTATAAATGGGCTATGCACCATTTATCCCTATGGAAGGTGCGCTCTGCTGGAAGGTGCACCAAAGATGGAACGCAGCACTAACATATCCCTTGGCAGGCAAAGCAGCTGACATGTTTGTAACCATTTGATTTCTGAGGGAGGGGAGACTAAAGAAATCTTCCTGCCTGCAGAAGACTGATCACTGAGGGGGGGGAGACTGAGGAAATGCTGCC